TGTTGCTGTTTTCTAAAAATAACTTGGGAGATGTTCCTGACTTGTCCATCTACTGCTTTATTCCTTGGATCCCACCCACTGTTTCACTTAAAACAAAACAAGTCATTGTTGCAGAAGTCTCTACCTTTTTGTAAGAAGCACTTTTCCCAAAAAAAGAATTTTTTTTAAATCTTGTATTGTCAAATGTGGTTTGAAACTAACGATCTTTAGGCAGGTGCTCTACCATTGAGGTATACCACCCCACCTCCAAAATAACCATTTTTACATTTCCTAAACCCTTCTATCTATACTGTATTAAATGCCCCTAAATAAAACACAGCATACTTAATAATATCTTGATATGCCTTAATAATGCATTTTAATACATTTCCCAGAAATTGTGGAGGTGGGTTACTATAATGACCAATTAATAAACTGTAAATCAGGTGGTTCTGAATTCATTACTTTCAACTAAATTAAAAGAACTCAATTGAGTGATCTGAGAAACTCTGTTCTCAGGAGTATAATAAAAAGTGCAGGTTTGAAGTGAAAATTATGACTACGTTGTGTTTTGTTTGAGGTACCTAAGAGATTACTAAAAATTATTTTAAATGACAGATCAGTCAAGGATTTTTGGCATCTAACATAGGAGTGCAAGGAATTGAGTGATCTTCCTTTATTAAAACTCATTTTCTATTTAAATAAACAAGGTAACAGTGTTTACATCTATAAAACAAAAATGAGTCATAAAAGTATGGCTGAGCCCTATCTTACTCAGGAACATATTATAATCTTCCATCCAGGGATATATGGACTAATGAAGAAGAATAGCCCTATTCATTTCATTAAAAGATGCATTTCCAAAAAATTCTTACTTTCTATGCTTAATAATTACTAAAATGAATAATATTTGGTTGCTTTACTGAATTACATGGTAATAACTACAATTAAACTCACTAATTAAGCACTGAATAACTAGGTGCTGAAAATGCCTTTGGTAGGAAAAGTTTCCATTTGTGGTAATCAAGTATGACAATCTCCCTTTCTTTTTTTTTGCAATAGGACTCACATTATCACTTGCATACAGTTTACCAGTCATTGTGGGTATTTGCAGAATATACAATCTCAAAAAGTGAAATCTCAAAATACATTATACAATACAAAATACCATTACTCCTGGCAGAGAGTACAGAGTTGAGCCTGCCTGCTGGTGGCAAGTATCGTTTTTTGTTCAGTAATACTCAGAGCATCTGCAGATAGCATCACATGCACAAGCCTCTACAGAGTTAGAATGTAAGAGAATCAAAGACAAAATCCTGATGAATTCTCGACATTTTATGGTATAGACAAAGAAAGGGTCATCATAAAGACAATGAATAAGTAGAAGAAAACCTGAAAAGAGAAGAACGTGGTATCATTCCGACAAAATGAGAAGATTTCAGGAAGGAGCAAGTCATTAGTGTCAATGCAAGAGGAAGTTCAAATGTGGTAAGGGCTAAGAATGAATCTCAGATTTAGCAACTGGTAACCTGGGAGGAGGCAGTTTCAGTGCATAATGGGTATCAAAGAAGAACTGTAAGAAGTTTAGAAATGAATGGGATCTCAGAAGTAGAGGTAATGAATTTAGACAAGGCTTCCTGGTATTTAGATGTGACACAGGGAGTCAAATACAGCAGTAGACAGAAGAGGGCTTGGAAGTAGAAAAAGGATGGTTCTAAATTGAGACTTGAACATGCCAAAATACTAATGGGAAACAGGGGGTAAAGAATGGGGGAGGTTAGAGCTGCCAGAGAAGCAAAAGGTGGTAAGATTCAGGTCGGAGTTACTGGGACTCTTCCATTGTGACAGGACAGGAAGGGATAGAAAAGCAGCAACTTAGTGTGTTTGAGGATGCGGTGGTCCAGAAGGTGGGAAGTTTCTTTCTGAGTGCCTTGATTGTCTTTGTGAAACAAAGGAAGAAATCACTGGAGGAAGAGGATATTTCTGTTACCCTCATCTGTGTGTCTCATCTTTCCCTATTCCTTGACTTCTGAGATCAAAAGGCAGAAGATATAGCAGCCTCATTTTCAAAGCCACAATGAACAACATCTTCTCATAAAAGTTCTAGTCATACATAACTTCTTCCTTTGAAGGAGTAATTTGTAAGGGAGCCTCAAGTGCAAACATTAAAATCAGATATGATTACAACCACTACTATTAAAACCACTAGTAGTATTGGAATGCCACATTTATCCTTACTGCTTTCAGTATCAGCAAAACTCTTCAAAAATTTCCAAAGGTGTTTTAAGAGTCTTATTTCATTTTCTCTCTCCTTTCCTCCAGACTATTTCCTTCTTCCTATTCTTAAAAAAATCACCAGCAAGATTCTCTCCCATCCTAGTTTCAACAAGAAAGGTCATTTATATGTTTAACACCTTATAATCTACAAAGAGTTTCATGCATTCTGATTTATTCTGACAACAATCCTGAGAGTTGGGGGGAAAGACATTTTATTGTCAATTTATGATAAAAGCATTGTTTTGGTTTGGATATGGTTCTAGTATCACCCAATGGTTCACGTGTGGGAAGCTCGGTCCTCAGTACTGGAGGTGAGGGAGAGCCTTCAACAAGTAAGACCCAGTGGGAAGCCATCAGATCATTGAGGAACTGATGCAGTTGTCCTGGGGCCTTGCTTTTCTCTCCAGAGGGTTACTATAAAACAGCTGGCCCCTCTCTCTCACTTTCTGTCTTGCTGTGGGGCCTTTCTCTCCCCTCCCCCTTCCCCCACCATCATAATGCCATCTGCCATGAGGTCCTCACCAGTAAAATGCCAGCATCATGCCCTGGAACCTCCAAAACTGTGAGCTAAATAAACCTCTTTTCTTTATTCCTTACCCAGCTTCGAGAACTTCACTATGTAAGAGAAAACTTAAGTGTCTTGACCATTCACTAGGAGGAGACACAGGCAAATCTATTTTGTGACTACACAGGTAAAACTGTCTGTTCTGCCATATCACACTCCAATTTCAACACCTTCTGAAAATCCCAAAGGTGGCTCAAGTTCCATCCAACCTCAGATTAATTTCAAATTCACCAATTATTTGAAGTGCAGAAACCTGTGCTGCAATTTCGATTCTCTGCCTATCATTAACAGATCTTACCATCCGTCTCCCATAATAAGGAACCTAAATACTTTTGAAGCAGCAGCTAATATTGCTCACACACATCTGGGGAAGCACATGCAGCTCTGATCACAAGGGAACCCTAACCCTCATTATCTGCAGCTGAGAACAGGTGATATTACTACCAGGGAAAATAACTGTTAGAGGCTTCCACCTAATGTAAAGACCCCAAACAATAAAGCTTTATATTTCTACTGACCGAGCTAGAATAAAATTCTCTGCTATACATCCATGAGCATTTGTTGCCTTCTGCTGCTATAACAAATTGCCAAAATCTTGATGTCTTAAGAAAACAGAAACTTGTTAATCTTATAATAAGGTCAGAAGTCCAAAACAAACCTTACTAGGTTAAATCAAAACGAAGACAGAATTGCATTCCTTCTAGAGGCACTAGAAGGAATCCATTTCTTTGCCTTTTCCACCTTCCAGAGGCTGCCTGCAATCCTTGGCTTAAGGCCTCCTGGCAGGAATTGCACCACTTCAACTTCCACTTCCATTGTCATATCTATTGACATTCCCACCTTCCTCTATCACATATCAGGACACCCGTGATTACACTGCTAATCTTCCAGGAAGTTAAGGTCTGTAGAATTTTAGCAAGACAGTCAACCTTTCCAGGCAAGTTCTGGCATACTAGATAAGATCAGGAAACTGTATTTGTCTCTGCTAGGAAAAAATGTTATTTATAACATATGCATATAATTTAAGGTACCTTCCACAGCCTTCAATTTAATCTTTCAGTATAGATTTATGGTTGTGGCATCTATGGAACAGAATTTAGCAAAATTCTGAATTACGTCTCCCTTTCTTTCCTGTGTGCTTTAATGACCACTTGCTTTTAGTAACCTATTCCTTTCTATGGAAACCTACCAAATATGCCCAATTTTTACTCCTATTTTATGAAATGCTCCTGTGAAACAGAGTAAGTTATAGAACTAGCGTGAGAAAAATCACCAGTTACCACCAGCGACAGCATTCCATTTGCCTGCCTCTTCTCATCCTACAACATTTCTGGGGCAAGAGACACTATGCTCAATGTCATGTTCCTCATCTCAAATGACCCAGGGAAGGAAGAGAAGGAAGACTTTACATCAACAGCAGTTGCCTAGGATGAAAAATAAAATGCAAGACAACTATGGTATTTTTAAGGTAAGCATATGAGCATTTTGCACAACAAGGCTGTGTCTATTTGAAGTTAAGATCTTAATTAGACTAATCCAAAAGTCACATTAGTGAATATCCTTTCATTCCTCAAAATCATCACCTCCAAACCTTTCACTGCAAATTTCTTAGTAACTCTGCCATGCAACCAGATAGGAAGATTTTCCAAGATAATCCTGTGAACAACTGGTATCAGAACCAGAAGCCAGAATACCCTTATTACTCTCACTCCATCAGGCTCACAAATGAAAACCCCTACTTGTTTTATTTTAGAATAGCTCAAATCACTTTTAAAACTTAGATAAGCACCTTTTTTTTTCACAATATATATAATTTCCTCTCTTAAAAGATAATAATGCCTGTCACTTCGAGAGACTGTCCACTTTCCTCCGGACACATGGATTCTGCTCTCCTCACAGCATACGTGGAAAGCACTTGCTATGATATGCTTACAGAACAGAAGCCATGGAAACCCTCGCAAAGGGACTTCACACAAAGAAGCTGTGAATCCAGCAACTCTACAAACTTGTGGCAAGAGGAGAAAGAATACAACAGGGATTCTCATGGGAAAATATATTTGAGGTTTTCAAAGTCATTTTCAGTTACAAAGGACCTAAACACCTGAACTACATCTAGACAGGCCAGAGATAGAATGAAATTTACAACCATAAAAACTGGATATGAAGTCATGGTACTCACTGTCTGATGGCTTCTGTCACAGTAACGCAGCCCAAAATAATCTATTTCCACGAGGTTTATGTGACGGAATACATGGTCAAGGACAACAGAACCTTTTGTTGACTTCTGCAAAAATAATTCACAGTTTTATTTTTTAAAACAAGGTATCTTGTCTTTCTCAGTGGGCCACAATCACAGCTCTCATCTGTTATTATCTTCCCTCACAACGGGAGCATTTTTATTACTCCACAGTACTCTCTTTAGATAAGCCTCAATTTCAAAGACAAATGTGATTTAAGGCAAAGTATATTAAAGAATTGCTTTGGCAAAATAATCTTAAATTGTAGTGTGTCTTAAATTAATATAAGCTTCTTTTCTTATGGTATTGTAAGTTCTCTTCATGAAAATTTCTTCTTTAAATAAAGATAATCCTTTACATGAAGAACATCTAATAAATTCATCAAACACCCACCATTGTTGTTAAAAATCCCACAGTTCTTTCATTTTAAAAAGCAGTTTTCACCTACATCATTATTCTCACAAGTATCTAATACAGAGATACATAAAATTAAAATAACAATAGCCAAAGCCTTTATTTTTCAATCCTCAAGTAACAAACCCACAGATTATGGCTGCTAAAATTAAATGTTCTGAAAACTCCATATTAAGACATTTTACTTGATCTCTTTCACATAAGCATAGACATAAAGGTAACATTTCTTTTTTAAAGACACTTTTATTAGTATACGATAGTTATACAGGAGGTTTCACTGTGACATTTCCATATCACATATATTGTACCCCAGTTTGGTTCATCCCATCCATTATTTTCCCTCTTCTCAAAATGGCTTCAACCTAAATATAACATTTCTTTTGGCAGCTTTTTAAATGCTGCCACTTACCTAAAAATCAAATTACTCTCCTCTTCCCCTCACTACATACACAGATTCTTCAAATTAAGATTCTTGCATACTCAAGACCCTGGGTTCAATCACAGCACCAAAAAACAACAAAAAGATTCTTTTCCTCTGATAAACAATTATTCACACAAATAAAAAAACACTAATCAGCACATACTACTTCACATACCATCTTAATCTTGGAAATGACTCATTTTGCTGGTGTGGGCACAGCACCAGTCAGATCTTCTCTTTCTTTTGCCCTATCACTGGCAGGTATAATGAGTAACAAAAGAAATCCCCAAATCATGCATTATGGCAAAAAAACAGGGCTTTTTTTTTTAATTCATCTTTCCTCAAAGAACAGCCGCTATGCACCTCACCATTTGGGTGAGCATGCAATACTATGTGGCTTTTAGAAACAGACTGCTAACCTAAGGGAAATGTCCTAATTAAGTGTATTATAAAACGGTTGATACAGGTGATAAAAGTAAATTTAAATAAAAGATGGCTTTTGTTACAAATCCCATAGGTATTTTATTTTCCTCTAAATTACATTGCTTACATTTAATTGGTCCAACTTTAAAATCCATTGAACAACTTATTTAAAAACAAAAAGCTCTTCCATGATGGACTTGGAGGTTGTTAGACATTTTCTGCTACAATAACAATGCTACATCCAGTAAATACCTGCTGTGTTCACGTCGCTGTGAACAGCGCTGGGGTGAAAATCATCCACTGGAAGAATATGCACTTACAATTTCCACGGGGAATGCCAAAAAGACCATTACAATCCATTCAATGAGGCCACACTCCCAACCCCTTGCCAACACTTGGACTGAGCAAAAAAAAAAAAGGGGGGGGTAGGGGATTTATTTATATTTTCCTGTCTCTAACAAAAGTAAGTGCTCTTTCATATACTCACTAGCTAGCCAGCTGCATTTCCTAGCATTTGGGCTATGCATTCTCTACCCAGAGTTTATGAGCAAATATTCCCGCTATTGTAATACTTGCATAATTTTATTTAGTATATTTAGTTCTTCAGTCCATCTGGAAATTATTTTTGACCTTAGAATAAGGGCCTAACTGTATTTCTGAATGGACAGAAAACTGTGCCACAGCTTACTAAAAAGCCATCATTTCTGATTACTAAATCCCCAATTCCATCCTATGGACAGGAATAATACACGAATATTTTAAGGAATTTAGTTTAATATAATTTGCTTGCTATCCATTGTTCTCTTTCAAAGTTGTCTTTGCCAATTCCTAGACATTTTCACTAGAAGAAGTTTATCATCAGCTTGCCAATTTAATAAACAGTTCTACTGAAAATTTGGAATTAAACTGGTTGACAGACTGGATGGCTGGGGACAGGAATGATAGAATATTTACCAAGTAAAATCTATATGGTTTTCTTTTACATGCTTCAAGGAAATTTTATACTTTTTTTTTTCATGTAGGTCTTACAAAATTCTACTTAGGCTTTGTGGTAGGTAAAACTTACAAAATCCCCTTCCCCACCAAAGATGTTCTGTAGTGAACTCTAGAACCTGTGAATGTGATAAAGTATCACTCTAGCAATTGTGTTGTATTAGATGGCACAGTGACCTTAACACAGAGACATTATCAGAGGTACCCTAATCTAATCATATGGGCTCCAGAATACAGAGCACTTTCTCCAGCAGAAGGGGCAGGCAGAAGACACATCAAAGACATTCAGTGCTTGAGAAGAACTCCTTATGTCCTTATCACTTGAAAGATGGAGAGGGAGGCTGTCTGAGAAGCAATGTGAAGTCCAAGGAGCTAAGGTAGCCCCTAGCTGACAGTCAGTAAGGAAAAGAGAATTCAGTACCCAAATCACAAAAATAGGATTCTGCCCACAACCTGAAAGAGGCTGCAGGCAGATTCTTCCCCAGAGTCTTGATCTCCCCCTAAGCAGAGAACCTAACCATGTTGTTCTGGACTTCTGTCTGCAGAACTGAGAGATAGTATATGCTTAAGCCAGTGTATGTGGTCATTTATTCTGCAGCAATGGAAACTAATACAGTCTTATTCTTAGGTATTTCATAGTATTATTTTTATTATACTTTCTGACTGGCTGTTGCTAATGTTATTGGAAAGCAACACAATTTTTTTGACATTGGTCATATTCCTAGCCATCTTGCTAAACTCTTATTAGTTAATAAGAGCTCTGGTTCTTCCTTTACAAAATGCCTCTTCATATTTACTTCTCTTTTCTTATTATGTTGGCTGGGATCTTGGTAAAAGGATCATGGGTAGTTGTGAGAACATGCATCTTTCTCTTTCTGGCTTTATTAGAATGGCTTCTCTATAGATAATCACTCTGACAGCTGCAGGCTTTTCCTGTTCTCACATGTCTACAGCCAGTAAACTTGGAACACTCCTTAATCTATCACTTCCAAAGTCCTCCTGCCCATGTTCTAGGCAATTATTTTCACCTTCAATTGTTTTCTGTTGCCATTCAGGAATTTAATTTCTGACCAACTAAGATATAATTTTCTTATTTTCCAAGCAGCTGTGAAAAATTCTCACACATCTTTTCCTACTTCAAAATATTTCTGGAAGGCCAGGATATAAGGTTCACCTTCCATCTTAATCTCATCTCTCATGGGTTCTTTCTTCCTTCAGACAGAATAGGTTATAACTAAAGCAGGTACAAACATTACTCCACCTAATTTGTCTCTCTTAAGCAAGCAAACAAGAAGTGGTTCATGAACAAAAGAAGAAAGAACCATGCATAAATGGTAGAGACTTTCTAAAAATATGTAAGTCAAGCCTTCTTTATACAACTATTTTAATGTTCCTATGCTCACTAGAAATGTTGGGCATTTTTCCATACATGTAGTCTACTTATAAAGCATGAAAAAGATCCAATATTCTACTCATGAAGAAAATACACAAAAGCAACTTAGAAAACCAGATCAATAGTTTAGAAAGTATATGGAAATTGCAAAAATTTCATACATAGGAGGAAATCACCATTTTCCAAGTCTATCATTCCAAAAATAACAGAATGTAGTCTGTCAATCCTCTGTGACAGTTTTGCATTTATATGCAATCTGGTGCTGAAAACAGCTTACAAATATTACCCCTTACCATATTTTGTTATCCTTCACAGAGAAACCACAAAGAAAGCATCCAGTGTTATGCAATGAATCCAGTGCTGATCTAAGAAAAAACGTGACACCTCATGATTCCCTCTCCTGCATACTATGTAGGGGTGTGTCTGCATGCACTGGGAGCAGAGCCAAGGGAGCATCAGAAATGCTGTATTAATGTCACCACTTCAAACAAAAATGCACATGAAAACCTCTTAACTTCTCATCTGTCATGCCATAATATGACAAAGCTCAGAAAGCAGAGATGCCAACAGAGAATTCGCTACTGGGGTGGGGTGTACAGCACCAGCTCACATTTTTGCCAGTCCAACTCTAACCAAGCTTTTACAGTAACTCTTAACCCAATTTGTGTTCCATTGTTATGCCTCCTGTTTCCTGGGAAAAAATCATTCTTCACGTGGATTCTGCATACAAATGACTGGTGGATCTATATTTTGCAGTCAGATGTAAAGTCTTCATATTCATAAAAAAATCACCTTTAAATAAATTAAGAACTGATGGGTAGCGGGGTGCCAGTGGCTCACACCTGTAATCCTAGCTACTTGGGAAGCTGAGATCAGAAGGAATATGGTTCGACATCAGCCCAGGCAAATAGTTCACAAGACCTAATCTCCAAAATAACCAGAGCAAAACGGACTGGAGGTTTGGCTCAAGTGGTAGATTGCCTGCTTTGCAAGATTGAAACCCTGAGTTAAGTCTCTCCACCCCCAACCAAAAAAAAAAAAATTGATGGAGAACTAACATGAGTGGCAAAGTAAGAATTAAAGTATATTGAGCCAGTTCCAGGATTTACTACTGGAAGAAAGGACAAATAAGTACCATCAAAGATATTGTGAAAGAAACATATGACTTCATTCATTCAAAGTTGAAGTATTTATTACACACCAGCAAATCATTGCTCTCTACAGAATGGGGAAAGTACACTAGTAAATGTCAAAAGAGAAGAAGATGCACCCAGAATATAATACAAAGAGTTGTGATGCGAGAAGCCTTTGACTGCCTGTCAGAATCCTTGAGATGCCCAGGGGTATAGAGTGACTGACAGAAACTTTTAGAAGTGGCCTCTGAAAAGTGAGATAAGGAGAAA